AGGACCTGTAATCTAGCCTAAAGTAAGCTGAGTTCAAATTGCAAGATTATGAGCATGTTTGGGTTAAGAACAAAAAGTGAATTTTTGCCAACTTGTGAAATTCGAATCTCTCAAGTTATGAGGTTGTTTGATGAGTTCTTGGACATTTTGGAAAGCTTGGAATGTGTACTACAATCCATCTTTGAAATGCAAATTGAAATTCCAAGTGAAAGGGTATGAAAAATGGCCTTGAAGTGGGGTAGAAAACCTTGTCAAAATAGGTTAAAATTCTACTAAGTTAAAAATGGTTTAGTGCCCTTATTCAAAAAATTGTAACTTGGGATACAAGCTTCAAATGAGAAAACTTTGTGAATCAAAGTTGTATATTATTCAACAAGCTACAACTTTCATGTTTTGACTTTTGTTTGAATCCAAATGGATCTTGGTGAAAAGATGGGGCAAAGTTGGGAAAAAATTAGGGTTTTTCATAACTTAGAAAAATTCTAAGTTATGAAAAATTCCATTTTCTAACCCTAATTTGCATTTTGTGATTTCTTGGTGAACAAGTTTCATGATTTTGCATGTTTTGATGAAAAATGAATCTTGACTCTTGATTTTGACCAAAAAGTCAAAGTTTGACTTTTCAGTATACAGTCAAAATTGATCAATTGACTGGGAAATTCAACTGTCAACCTTGTGTACTTGGGATCTTTTGAGCTTGATGAATGTGTCAAGACCATTTCATTGAGTCCTTGAGTCCATATGTGAGCTTGATTTGCCATTGGCTAGGTCAAACAGTCAAAAATTGCCTTTGTACAGTCAAAACCCTAAAAAATGACCATTTTGCCCTTTTGGTGATCTGATCAAATTTCTTGTGGAATTGTGATCCAAACTTGATCAAATGGTCTATATGAGTTCATAATGTTGATGTGGGTCAATTTTCATGAGATTTGACTGCCAATTGACCACAGTTGACTTTTTCCCCAATACAGCTGATTTCTAGGTCAACTGTCCAATTGACTGGGCAAAATTTGGAATCAAGACTTGAAACTTGGTATGGATAATCTTGGGAGTCCAACATGAAGCATGAAATTAATCTTAGGCATTTTAGGTCAAAACATCTTTGTTCAACCCCAAACCTTAATTTGGGTTAACAGTGCAAGGAGAAGTCTTGAGCAGAGGAAACCCTAATTGGATCTTGATCTTCAAAGGTCTTGTGATGAGAAAATGTTGAGGAAATGGGAGGGCAAATTTTGGGGTACAACATTGACCAAGAAGAAGAAGATGATGAGGCAATGATTGATTTTATGGTCAATGATGATGCTGCAGATCAAGAGCATGAACCTATACCTGCAAGTCATACGTACGACCCTCCGTTTTACATGGCGAACTTGAACTCGGGGGAAGATGAATCAGCCTCAGATATCTTTCACGATCCTTATATGCAGACCGAAGGGGCCTTGAAAGTTGGAGACAAATTTCGAACAAAAAAAGAGTGTCTTAGAGCTATCAAAAAATACCACATGGAAATTTTAGCTGACTTCACTGTAGATAAAAATAATTCAGGGAGGTACATTATTTTATGTCGTCAAAAACCAATTTCCCCTTTTCAGTTAATTGAATCTTACAGAAAGAGAAGTGGTTCATGGGAAATAGGTTTCATTGATCCACTCCACAATTGCATCACCACCGTTCCGACACAGGATCATCGAAAACTTAGTTCTAAACTAATATGTCAAGAAATCTTGCCTCTTATTATCAAAGATCCATCATTAAAGGTGAATACAATTATTTCTCATATCACTACGAGATTCAATTATACTCCCTCTTACAAGAAGGCATGGATCGGGAGGACTAAGGCAGTTGAACTTGTGTACGGTAATTGGGAGGAATCGTACAAAAAACTTCCAAGATTTTTGGTGGCACTCAAATATTATGCTCCGGGAACTGTTATAATTTTGGAGACACTTCCGGATTTTACCCCAGACATAACTCGTGTTAGTGGGAATGAAACATTTCATCGATTGTTCTAGACGTTTGAACCATGCATAAAGGGTTTTTCATTTTGCAAACCTATTATACAGATTGATGGAACTTGGTTATACGGGAAGTATAAAGGAACATTACTCATGGCAGTGGCACAACATGGGAACAATAATGTTTTTCCGATTGCCTTCACTCTAGTTGAAGATGAGACAGGTGGTGCATGGAATTTCTTTCTGAAGAATCTCCTATTACACGTTGCTCCACAACCCAACCTTTGTTTGATTTCAGACAGACATCCATCAATTGTGAGTGCATACAATAACCTTGATAACGGTTGGCAGGACCCCCCTTCGACACATGTCTATTGCATTAGACATGTCACACAAAACTTCATGCTCCATATCAAAGATAAGACACTTCGAAAGAAAGTTATTAATGCAAGGTATGCCTTAACAGAACCGTCATTCCGATACTATCGCGAAGAAATTCGGTTGGTAAACTCAGAAGCATTAAGGTGGATCGATAATATTCCAGTGGAGAAGTGGACTCAGGCATTTGACAATGGTCAACGATGGGGCCACATGACAACAAATCTGGTGGAATCATTGAACTTTATATTCAAAGGCATCTGAAACCTACCAATTACCGCTTTGGTTAGAGCAACATATTTCAGAATGGGATCATTGTTTGACACAAGAAGTTCAAAATGGAGGGAAGTGTTACAATCAGGGCAGTTGTCCAGTTAATGCATGATGAAAACATTTAACGAGGAGGCTGCAAAAGCAAAACACCCATAGTGTCACCGTGTTTGATTGTATTAAAGGTTGGTTCAGTTTACAAGAGACACTGGATCATAATGAGGGGAGGCCAAGGGGATATTATCGAGTCAAACTAGATAGAGGTTGGTGTGATTGCAGAAAGTTTCAAACATTTCACATTTAACGAGGAGGCTGCAAAAGCAAAACACCCATAGTGTCACCGTGTTTGATTGTATTAAAGGTTGGTTCAGTTTACAAGAGACACTGGATCATAATGAGGGGAGGCCAAGGGGATATTATCGAGTCAAACTAGATAGAGGTTGGTGTGATTGCAGAAAGTTTCAAACATTTCACATTCCTTGCTCTCATGTCATAGCGGCATGTTTGCATGTTCGCTTGGACCCAATATAACATATATCCCCCGTGTACACGGTAAAGAGCATTTTAAGTGTGTACATCAATACCTTCTTCGTGTTGGCAAAGGAGGATTATTGACCTGCTTATGAAGGGGATATTGTTTGGCACAATGAACAAATGCGACAGAAGAAAAAGGGGCGCCCAAAAAGAACTTGTATTAGAACTGAAATGGATACGGCCAACAAAATGGTAAGATTATGCAGTACATGCCGTCTTCCCGGACACAATCGGAAAAATTGTCTGAATATTGGGTCTAGCTCTGCAACATAACTTTTTATAGCAAAATATCCGGAGTGTTTAATTTGTTGTACGCGATATATTTTAATTTAAATCCGAGTTATCATTTCGTGTTCAATTTATCATTCGATTACAATAACTTTCATATCATGACACAAAAAATTACAACACCACATACTCAGGACAACAATATAACAACATGATAAACAGACAAAACAACTAAACAAATCATAATATCTAAGAGATAAAGACCATCAACACAATATCCTCTGGTCCAAGCATCATCATCATGACATCAGCGTCGCATCTCACCTTTTTCCATGATCGACTTACTCCATTTTCGTTCCTCACTATGAAGTGCCTTTCTATTTTTCTGATTTTTTCACCTTCAGGAATGTCTCCTTCCAACCAGTGAATCAAGTGTCTCTGAAAATGCTCGAACGTCTGCGTGTTCCAGAGTTTGATCTTCACCGGAGGCTTTGTCGTCGAAAAAAAATGACATGCACATCTCTTTTGATCAAGAAAACTTTGGCAAGGGAGTTGAAGACATTTTCTAAGAGTTGTGTAACAAATGGTATGGAAAAATAAAGAAGATGGGTGGTTGTATTTATAGAAAATTGCAATAACACTGTCAAGCCAAGGAGGATGGCACCTTCTCTCAAAAACACATGCATGTGCCACACTACATGACTTTACAGAGGAAGACAAGCCATGCAGTGTGGCGCCTCCCCTTTAAATTGAGTGCATGCGCCACACAAAGTGGCTACTCCTCTGTGTGGTGAAATTTTTTGTTTGAAAAGTGGTCATTTTGGTAAATTTTTTGAAAATGTGATTATTTGGAATTTTTTTTTATAAAAAAAGTGGTTATTTAAAAAGAAAATTCAACAAGTATACCATTGGAAGGGATACTCTTTGCAGTGTCCTGAAATACGAGTTAAGATTCTCTCCATTTTTCAAAAAATATGAAGAGTTCCACTACTAATGTTTTAGATGCATGATACACATTATTTTGAAATTTGTGATATATATTTTATATATGTTGACATTTATACATAAAAAATCTTAGCAATTGTGTTCTCCATTTCTCAAAAAAAATGGAGAGAAACTCCACCCTTGAAATACTTTATAGGATCATTTTTTAATGTTTTGAAATTTAACCATTAACACCAAAACAATAAATGACAATATAAAATGTCATCTATAATTTAAAAAAATAAATAAATAATGCCAACAAACCGTCCAGATCATTAAAAATAATAATAATAAATAAATAAAATAGTTACCATGTCAAAAATTCTGTGATTGGATTTCAAGAGAGGTCAAAACAATAGAATCTTGAAATGTTAAAGACTAAATCTTGATTTTTTATTTTACAGGAGTTTTTTTTTTTAAAATCGCCCAAATGACATGGAGCACAATACCTATTAACCTTTTATTTTATTTTACTTCAATTCCTTAAATCACTCCATAATTTATAAAGGAACATTCTTCAATTATCAACATACAACTATCCACAACCAAAGTAGTAAGCAGCTCTCTCAGAAAACATATCAAGTACAAAGTTTCTAGCATTGACCATAAAATCCATTGACATCAAAAACATTTCTTAGAGCCCTTAGTGTGTTATCTGCCACAGATTTCTGTAATACTGACATTATTGATGGAACTAACACTTTGACATTCTTCAGGCCTCTTTAAGTTCAACATATTCTCCATCAGGATGAATGCAGGTTTACTAGGAGGATGTAATGCGGCTTCACTGTTAAGCATAGAAATTACTGCAGCCATAGTAGGCCTATCTACAGCAAGTTCTTGTACACACAAAAGTGCTATATGTATGTACCTTAAAATGTAACTGTGATGACTAGGATCATATATTTCTCGATCTATTAGAGATAAAATATTGTTGTCCCTCCATTGAATCCAGACCTAAATGAGATAAAAAGAAAAAGGAATGAAACTAATCAGATGTCAATGTTGAGTCAAAAAAATAAAAAAGGCCATAGTTGAGCAAAAAATAGCTTGTTGAGGCTTACAAATCCTAAAAGGCTTAGTGAGTGCTCATTGTCACAAAAACTAGAGTTCCTTCTCCCCATAAGAATCTCTAGTAACAAAACACCAAAGCTAAAAACATCTGATTTCTCTGAAAACAATCCTTGCATTGCATATTCAGGAGACATATAACCACTGTATTAAAATATAAAAATTTATTCTCAAATTAATACTACTAAAATATTGGATAAGGAAAGTGCACTTACTAGGTTCCAACAATCCTGTTAGTATTTGCCTGATTTACTCCCCCTCCAAAGATTCTAGCCATACCAAAGTCAGATATTTTTGGATTCAGCTCCTCGTCTAACAAGACATTACTTGCCTTCAAATCTCTATGAATAATTTTTAGTCTAGAATCTCTATGAAGATATAGCAATCCTCGAGCTATTCCTTCTATTATGTTATACCGTGTGATCCAATTTAGGAGATTATTTTTTGATGGATCTAAAAAGAGTGGCAAAACATTATTTCGAACATATTATAAAAATATAATGTGAAGTCATCAAAATCATTCGCTTCCAAACAAAATCACTGGAACTGAAACAATTGTTTGCTTTTAAAATTAGTTTATAGAAGCAAAAATAAAGTGAAAGATGAAAGTATGGAATTGTGTATGAGAAAGTGTTAAAGGGAGCTTCAAAGAACTAACCAAAGATGAATGCATCTAAACTTTTGTTGGGCATGTACTCATATATCAACATCTTTTCATCACCTTCAGTACAGCAACTAATAAGTCTTACAAGATTGCGATGTTGAAGCTTACAAATCAAAACTACTTCATTCATGAATTCCTCCAGCCCTTGTCCAGATGCTCTAGAAAGTCTTTTAACTGCTATTTCTCGACCATCTTCCAGTTTCCCCTATATGAAAATATGTCACAACTGCTATAGATGATGGTTCTTTTTTTGACAAATGATTATGGTTTCAAAATAGTGTAACTTTGTTTCATTTAAGATACCTTGTATACTGAACCAAAACCACCTTGTCCAAGCTTGTTGGATAAGTGGAAGTTGTCTGTTGCAGATGCAAGCTCTTCAAAATCAAACATTAATAACTCTTGTAGTTTAACTTGGGACATTTCTCCAATTACATTGTCACTAGCATAACCTTCTGGTAATCTACCTTTATTAAATAGTTGGAAAGCTTTGTTGTTCTTTTTCCTTGCCGATTTAGTAAGGAGCCACCGTTTAGCTGCAGTGAAAACAAATAATTAGATTTAGAGCTTAGTTCCTCATCAATTAAAAATAGATTCTAAGCAAAATACATTTTGCAGTTTTTTGAGTTAAATGTTTGTAACAAATTAGTTATTTTAGTTTTATAAGTTTATGTTGTTAACCTTTTAAACACATTTGTTATGAAAAGACGGATGGGTTCGTTATTTACACTACGCGGCCTATGTCTGATCTTCATGTCCTAAAACTCTGTCCACGTTCATCAAGATACATAAATCCTTTAAAAGTTTGGTAACAAATTAAGGAAACACACGAGTTTCAACCATATAGCAACAATCACTGTTTTTTTTAAGATTACCCCCACTTATAAGCACATGTTTAGACCATATATTATCCGATGTGGGGTTTTTGACAAAAAGGTTAATGATGTATTGTTTTACAGACTAAAAGGATAACTTTATTACTGTTGGTGCAAAGTAATGAAAGGGGAGAAGAAGAATGAGCAATGAATGATAACAAAGAGAACTACTATTGTATATCAAATAGAGGAATGAAAATGAGTTATAATATTGATACCCTAGGTAGCATATTTATACTAAAAGTAAAAATGCCAAAAGGTCCTATTAAAGAATAAGCATTGGGAATTGTAGACATTAACTAAATTATATTTCCAATATCATCCCTTAATTTAGATATTCTATCAGAAGCTAACAACACCAATTTCATCTCTCAAGCAAAGAAATTGATTTGTTTTAACTGCCTTTGTCAGAAGATCTACAAGCTGTTTCTGAGTGCTACAGTGCAGAACTTCTAACACTCATTTCTGCACTTGACTTCTGAGAAAATGATACTTAGTCTCAATGTGCTTGCTTCTTCCATGTAGCACTGAATTCTTGGCAAGATCAATTGCAGACTTATTATCAATCATCAGCTTCATAGGTTCCTCAACTTTAACCTTCAGATCATGCAGGAGATTCAGAAGCCAAACAACTTGACAAGCAGCTACAGCACATGCGATATACTCAGCTTCACATGTTGACAGAGCCACGACATGCTGTTTCTTGGAACTCCAGGAAATGGGACCTCCCAGAAATTTAAACAAGTATCCAAAAGTACTTCTCTTGTCCACTCTATCTCCGCACCAGTCAGAATCAGAATAACTTACTAATTCTGATTCTGTCTTTCTTTTAGAAGGAAACAACACTCAATATCTCAGGGTTCCCTTGATATATCTCAGAATTCTGACAGCAACTTGGAAATGAGACCACTTTGGATTACTCATGAATCTGCTAACCAATCCAACTGCATAATAAATGTCAGGTCTAGTATTACATAAATACCTTAGAGAACCAACCAACTGATTGAAGGTTGTAGAATCAACAGAATCACCATCACAGTCAGAATCCAATTTTTGATTGGTTTCTGATGGTGTCATAGCAACTTTGCAATTCTGCAGCTTAAATCTCTTCAGAAGTTCTAGTTCGTATTTTAACTGATGCATAATAATACCCTTCTTCGAGTACATAATCTCCATCCCTAGGAAATATGTCATTTTTCCTAGATCTGTCATCTCGAACTCATTCATCAGAACTTCTTTGAACTTCTTTATATCTTCTAGGCAGCTACCTGTTAGCAAAATGTCATCAACATAGAGACACGCTAGAATCATATTGTTATCAGAGTGTTGTACATAAACTCCATATTCCATCTCACATTTCTGAAACCTCAGCTTCTTGAAAAACGAATCAATTTTCAGATTCCAAGCTCTAGGCGCTTGCTTCAGTCCATACAGAGCTTTATTCAACCTGTATACCATCCCTTCCTGATTCTTTTTCACAAATCCAGGAGGTTGTGACACAAAAACTTATTCCTGTAATGGACCGTTCAGAAATGCAGACTTCACATCCAGATGCATTAAAGACCAATTTCTATTTGCAGCTAAAGCAATCATCAGTCTGATTGTTTCATGCCTAGCTACAGGCACAAACATCTCAAAGTAATCTAGTCCAGGTTTCTGAAGAAAACCTCTAGCTACTAGTCTAGCTTTGTGCTTGCCAATTGAACCATCTGACTTAAGTTTCAACTTAAAAACTCATCTGACGCTGATGGCTTTTTTCTTATCTGGAAGTTTAGTCAATTTCCAAGTTTTGTTCCTTTCCATTGCCTCGAGTTCTTCTTTCATGACATTAAGCCATTCTTTCTTCTTGAGAGCTTCTTCAATGCACACTGGTTCAGAATCTACTAACATGGCACACTGAACGACTTCTCCTTCAGAGTCAACTTTATTATCCTGTAGCATGTCAAAATCTGCAAACCTTCTTGGTTTTTGTCTGATTCTATGTGGTCTTTGAGCTTGTTCTGAAGTTGCACCAGAACTACTACTTTCAGAGTTACCACCTTCAGAGTTTTCCCTTCCAGAACTATGATCACCACCAGATTCTGGATCATCATCAGCATCTGGATCAGAATCAGATCCATTGCCAGAATCTTCTTCTGACTCATCTTCAGAATCTTCAGGATCTTCAGAATCAGATTCATCTTCTGAACTTTCTAAAACATCTTCAAAGGATAACTCTAGTGTTGGCACTACAACAAAATTTGTTTGAGATTTGTTCCAATCCCATGCTTCAGACTCTTTCACCACAACGTCTCTGTTGACTTCAACTTTATTAGTTTCTGGACAATAAAGCTTATACACACCTGTACTGTGGTACCCCACCAACAACGTTACTTTGCTTATATCATCCAGTTTTTGTCTTCTAGCTTCTGGAACGTGTTTGTAACAGACAGAGCCAAATACCTTCAGATGACTGACACTCTGCTTATCTCCAGTCCATTTCTCTAAAGAACAACTTCCTCCAGTTTCTTCGTTGGACACCTGTTCAGAATATATGCTGATGTGGCAACAGCTTCTCCCCATAGCACGTGAGGTAGCTTTTTCTCTTTTAGCATGCTTCTAGTCATATCAAGCAAAGTTCTGTTTCTTCTTTCAGCAAGACCGTTGTGCTGAGGAGTATATGGAGCAGTAACCTCATGTTCTATTCCACTCTCCTCACAGAACTTCTGAAACACTGTAGAGTTATACTCACCTCCACCATCCGTTCTCAGAATTTTTAACTTCTGACCACTCTGCTTCTCAGCCTTCACTTTGAATTTCTGGAACTCAGTAAACACTTCATGCTTGAACTTGATGAGTGTTACCCATGTCGTTCTTGTGAACTCATCCACAAAAGACACAAAATAATTGTTTCCTCCAAGTGAAGGTACTGGAAATGGTCCACACACATCATAATGTACTACTCCCAGAGCATGCTTTGCTCTGGGGTATATTTCTGATGTAAATGGCAATTTAGGTTGCTTGCCTTTCATACATATCTCACATGACTTCTCGGGCTTCACATCTTCGAAATACCATGTACAAGCTTCTTAGAACATAGATGCCCTAAGCTTCTATAGTTCAAATGCCTCAACCTCTTATGCCACAGCTTACTGTTACCTTCAGCGTCTTCTACACTAAGACACGTTGCTTCAGCTGTTTCTACATTTACCTTGAATATTCTATTGCCTCCTTGTTCAGACTTCATAATCAACCTCTGATTGGAGTCATACAACGTCAGAAGATTGTTTTTCATAACAACTGAGAAACCTTTCTCAATCAACTGACCTACGCTCATCAGATTGCTTCTAATACCAAGAACATACCAAACATCTTTGATCAAAATGTCTTTCCCATTCTTCAATTTAACTCTGACATCTCACATACCTTCTGCATTAAGATACTTATCATCAGCACATCTGATCTTTGTTCTCCTTCTTGAGTCAAAGTCTGTCAGCCATTGTTTGTTTCCAGTTAAATGATTTGAACAGCCAGTGTTCATATACCACCAATCTTCTGAGCATTTTCCATCAGAATCAGAAGCTATTAGTAGTACAGGTTCATCATCAGAGTTTCTCTTAACCATATATGCTTCTTCTGATTTCCTTTCCTTGTTTGACCTACAATCTCTGGCAAAATGGCCAAATTGTTTACAAGAGTAACATTGAATCTTCCTTTTGTCATACCTCTCCCTTCCTTTATGATATTTCTTATCATCAGAAGTTGAGGCTTTTGACTTCTGGAATCTATCACCACGTTTATTCTGCTTCTGGTCTTTCTTGACAAAAGAGGCCTTCAGAGCTTGCTCAGCTTCCCTCTCAGAAGTTCTCTCAGACAGACGTAACTCCTGTGCTTCTAAGCTGCTTTGTAATTCTTCTATTCTCATGGTTTCCAGATCTTTAGAATGTTCAATAGAAACAACAATGTAATCAAACTGAGGAGTAAGCGACCTCAGAATCTTCTCTATGATTACCTGTTCAGACAGAGTTTCTCCACACGCCTTCATCTCGTTAGTGATCAAAATCACTCTAGAGATATATTCAAAAACTTTCTCACTGCTCTTCATGTTCAGGTTCTCATATTTCTTTCGTAGGGATTGAAGTTTCATCTTCTTTACTGATGCGTCACCACTGTAAAATCTCACCAATAAATCCCACGCCCCTTTTGACGTTGTTGAATCAGCAATCTTCTCGAACACACTTTCATCCACACACTGATGGATATAGAACAAAGCTTTCTGGTCCCTCTTCCTCATCATCCTCTCAGCAGTTCTCTGTTCTTCAGTTGCATCTGCTACAGCTGGTACATAACCATCTGTAACCAGATCTAGAACATCTTGCGCATCAAACAACACACACATTTGTATCATCCATTTGTTTCAGTTTTTGCCATTAAAAACTGGAAGTTTGGTGTTCAAACTAATGTCTCCACTCATTTTAAACCTTGCACGGATTTTTTAGATCTTCAAACACACTGTTTTCCAACCCACAAAATCAGATTCTATTCAGATTTTGTAGATTTTAACAGAAAAACAATGAACCAAAATCAAACACACAGCTCACAAACACTCGTGTTTCCCAGAAAAACAGAACCAAGTGCTCTTGATACCAATTTGTTGATGCAAGATAATGAAAGAGGAGAAGAAGAATGAGCAATGAATGATAACAAAGAGGACTACTATTGTATATCAAATAGAGGAATGAAAATGAGTTACAATATTGATAGCCTAGGTAGCATATTTATACTAAAATTGAAAATGCCAAAAGACCCTATTAAAGAATAAGCATTGAGAATTGTAGATATTAACTAAATTATATTTCCAATAATTACAAAAAAAAAAAGACAAAAAAAAACAAACTTATTACAAACATTCAACTTAAAGGATCGCAACATGTATTTGACCTAAATTTTATGACTCAAGTTGATTATACGAAAATAGTATGTTACCTGGTTGGTTTGATGTCCTTCTCCACAAGATATATGCACAAATGACAATTATGAAAGTTCCAATTATCACTGTACTGATGATGATTTTCTTGTTTCTCTCTTTTTCTTGATCCTTTGTCATGTTTATCTCTTCCTGTTGATCAATTGTCTTGTTTCTCTCTTGATCTGTATATATGCAAAATAAAAAATATAAGAAATTGAATACAATCCTAACTCCTAAGAGATAGAATCAAGTTAATAATCTATGTCTCAAATGCTTTAACAAACAATAACAAGAGCATACCAAGTTCTGCATAGGCTGCGCGAACATATAGATCAAGTCCTCCATCTTGGAGTTGCTGTATGTCAAGTAGATTGCCGGTCCAAGACATACAACCAATCTCATCCGCGAAAGAGTATGCAATGCAAGAGCAATTACTCAAGCATAAGTTTATGCACGCTTCTGGTGGAACAGCTAAACCTTGTGCAAAATCTGGAACTTTAACGTTTTGCAATTTCAAAAACCCGTCTTGCTTTGCACTTGCGGTTTTATTGATGACCCTTTCACACTGCAAAGGTGTCCTCCTAACACAGCCCGCAGCCCAGTTATGTCTAAACCTTGTTTCAACACTAACATGTAACAAACAGCGACACAAAATGAACAAAACAGAGAACAAATATGCACAGTAGCTGAAATCCATTACTATGATTTAATAAGGTTGTCCACTTATCACTTTTAATGTGTTTACTTCTCTCTTTTTTATTACATTAAATCACCTATGAGATTCATTGATCTATTCAAATTTGCCTTAACCAAGTGCCTCACATAACTGATAAAATAATACCAGTTGTCTAATGCTTTCCAAAACTGTAACTTTGAATCATTCATTTTTTACATCACAGGCAACCTCATCAAGTTAATATAAAACGGTTAATTGGTTTAATCATAAAAAGTCAATGACATTATAAACTATAAAACTAAAATGAGTGAATAGGAAAACTGATCCTCCAAATTGTGAGCATCAGTCAAAATAGACGCTGAATTTTTCAAATTGGCACATACATCTCTCAAACTGTTACTTGTCACTCAAAATGGTCATATGTTAACTTCTTGAGATGGCATTGGCATACATGGAGTTGGCATGAAATGCATGAATATAAATTACTTATTGTTTTACATCATCAATAAATTATAACCGTTAAATCTTTATATATATTTGACTTTTTCTTTAATTATATATAAATTATTACTTAAGATTAGTTGTAATGTACTGATCGTATAAAATGTTTTACACCGATAATACATAACAATTATTCTCAAATTTATATCAAAATATGTATTAGTAAAATTTTATTAACCGTTAAAAAGGATTAAAAAAAACTAAATACTAGAGGTGGATAAGGCAGTTTAATATATGTTACTTCCAAAATAATCAGTATAAATGATTGTTTCACACATATTAGAAAATGTATAAATGAAAGAGAGAATAATACTTTTATTGAATTATCCTTATTTATTATTTGTGTATCTAAATTATCATAAATATTGAGTGAGAGAATAGTAAATTAAAAATATTAATTAGCGGACATAATTGGAATATAAAAATAAGATTTGCATTGGAAACTAAAAGCAATACTTATTTTAGGAAAAATAATTTTATAAGTCTTAAACGAAAGTGTCTTATCTAAAAGGGGTGAATAGATCACTAAGTCAAAAAATTTAGATAAAATTATGATTTTAAAAATTTATTAGAAAAGAGTGCACGCGAAAGTTTTTCAAAAATTGTTGTTTATACAAACCACGTTATTGGAAGTCGGATATGCAAATATAAGAATGATTATGAAATGAATACAATAATCTGGAATTTATATACTTCAATCAAGTAACAACTTATTTAACGTTTGTAGCAAGTTACTAGCAATGATATTTCCAATGATAACTAGCAAAAGAACAAATTGAACAATTTATCGAAAACTTGGTGTGCAACCGAATTTTCATAATTTTCCTTTGATTTAAATGAACTAAACAATTTGTCGAACACTTGGCGTGTAATCTAATTTTCAGAATTTTCTTTTGAATTGTGTTGATATAAAAAAGCACTTATAATCATAAGTGATTATAAGCAAATCAACACACAATTTAAAACAAAAATAGTCTCAGAAAATTTCTACGAGTCGATCGATTACTCAATGTTATTTGACAAATTGATGTATTAAAATTAAAGTAAGTAAAGCGATAAAAGAAAAGAGACACAAAGATTTGTCTTCACAATTCCCCATTTTCGTCCTCGTGCGTGGGTATGGTTGCGCCTAATTCCGATAGAATTAGGATAACTCTTACTATGCAAAAAGTTTGATACAAGAGAAGTGTTTCAAGAGCAACTCCATAAACCCTAATATTTCTTGTTGATTCAACTCTTCTCTTTCTTTGATCTTGAGAAAGACCAAGACACAATAGCTGCCAATTGACTATCTAGATCTTGCTACTCCTTTGCATACTTTACCTCCAAAGCTTTTGTGCACCATCAATTGCACTTATTACAACACAAGACTTCAATTTGATTCAACGTTCTCACGCTACTTCCTTTGCATTCTTTATCTCCAAAGGATCATTTGTATTCTTTATCTCCAAAGGCTTTCACTAGGCAGCAATCCTTTCTTAAACGTCTTGCACGAAAACTCCAAAATCAACCAATGATCTTGGAGGACAAACCCGCAGTTTTTTCGGATGAAGACCCATGCAAATCTCAACCCAATATTCTCGGCTACATAAGAACCTAATTGGGCGTTATCGAACCTCGTCTAGATGACACCCTAACCACATATTTTTAATGATGATTTGTTAGTGTGTATGCATAGGTTGGAGGTTAAAGGTGAAGAGCAATTGCAGGAAATTTTTATGGTATCATCAAGTTGAAATGATGCATGAAAGATGTATTTATAGTTATGAAAGTTTTTTGGAAAAATAAGGAAGTTCGGAATTAAAAGAAAATAGAAAATTTGACCCATGAAAAAGTATGAGTCGGCCTGTAACTTGCATGTGTCGGCTTATAGTGTTAATTTTAACAGCATGAGCCAGACTGAAATGACTTATAAGCCGGTCTGACTTAGGCAGAAGAGAAACTGCTTATTTAAGATAGTACATGAGTCGGTCTGACCAAGGCATAGACAAAACTGCTTATTTACAATAGTTCATGAGCCGGTCTGAAAGGCTGCATGAGCTGACATGTACAAACATATGCAGTGCAGAAAATAATTTTTCAAGACTGGGACAATTTTGACTATGTTTAAAATATTCCTAAGACTTCTAAATGCATAGGGTGCCACACAAACTCAGAGATACCGCCCAATATACAAAAATGATATATTCTTATAGTTTTGACATCATGCAAAACAGATCTAGAGGCAAGTTGCACTCAAATACTCCCCCTTTTTTATGATAGCAAAACTGTGACGATGGCATTTCATGTTCATTTGACACTCCCCCTGACTATGTGCTTCCAAGCTTCATCTAGCATATCATTCTCCCCCTTTGATAAAATCAAAAAGATAACAAGCATATCATTAGAAGTATTGAAGTTTTCCATAACTACCAATATATCATACAAATGCCTTTTTACATAATAAGAGTGTGCACTCACATACACCCATATGTATAGAATGACACTAGATTTAAGATGAAATACATAGAAGACATTTGCAAAGCATAATATCCATCAATACATAAAAGGCAGAAATGCACCAAGAGTTCTTACAACACAAAAGATAAATTGTTCAACAAATATAAAAGACAATGGTATGAAATGCATGGACTAAAGGGAAATAACACCAAGACCATTCACGACATCAACGACCATCATATCCACCATCACACCTCTGATAGTTTTGTCCACCTCTACGCATAGTGTCATAAAATGTTGAGGACTCTTCATGATGCTCCATAGCATAAGTCTGCAGGTTTTTGATTCCAAGTTGAACAACCAAATTACTTCTTTGGATGTCCTCACGAATCAACTTGAACTGTTCAGTAGCAGCAGACTCGAGTATCTCAAAATTTGTGTCCTGAGCAGTTAGCCTCTCATTTACCAATCTAAATTGCTCGTTTTGAGCAATTTGGAAATCAGCCCACCACTGTAATTCCTCTTCATAATGTTGATTATGTTGCAGCTACATGCTTTGAAGCATCGAGATAACATCAGAATTATTCCCTGCACCATACTCATACTTGTTTTACTGATAACCAGATCCATAGTCAAAAGTGCCAGCTTCATATCCTCTTTAACTTTCACCATGTGCAATCCAAGAGTTATCTTGCCACTGTCCATCCCAGTGTTACTTATAGTTGGTCTGTTGAGCTTCAATAACTCTCAACCATGCCTCATCAGCAGCATAATCAGCATCTGGCATATGAACAACCTCTTGCGGATTACCCCTAATCTCCTCAACTTTATCATTCACATAATCCTCAACAGTATTAAGAAATTCAGCAGGATCATCATAGTTGTAAATTTTCCTTCTTGAGCCTGCTTCCAAGAAATAGTATACCTTCCTTACAAGATCCCAATAATACCTCAAGTTGGTCATAGTTCTTTTGGAAAATTACAGATTTGCAGCAGGAGAAATGTATGCCAAGTTTGGAAGATCAATATTGAAGGAATTGATAATATTGGCAATCATGGAGGGATAGGAGAATGCAGTCCCTTTGTTGCAATCTTGGATGTTAAACATCCTAAATACAAGATAATATGTCCAATTAATCTTGATTTTGTTGAGGAGAAGGTGGACAAGATGTACCTCAGCCATGTCAACTCTTGAAAAAACTCCACTTTTAGGACGCAAAATATGAGAGACAATCCAATGCATTATATGAGGCAACCTATTGAGACATCCAGTTATGATGGGCTCATGGTTATTATCATCCCTAGGTGCCTTTAGTTGCTCATTAGAGTGAATTCTCCATTTGAAATCATAATGAAAGTGTTCTGGACTGGCTCAATGACTAGAAATGGTCCAATTCACTCATGCCCTTGGCACGACCCGATGACAGCGGCCCAACATTTTGGTCGACCACGAAGCTTGTCATCTGACACATTATGCCCGATATACACACCTGACCAGATCAGGGAATGTCTCCCGTCGGCCCGACACAGGTCGAGAAGACACCCAGGAAACAACCAAAACGACCATATTCCTGTAATCCTCCTCCTTGAAACAAACGGCTACTTACGAGTATACCTGCCCGTTTTGACACAGTCTTAGCAGTTACCTATTATTGCGGACCCGCATATCTAGGCTCAAAAATAGGAACCAATGGTTACGCACCGGGGGAACATTATATAAATCCTCACACATGTGAGGGCCATGTATTCACAATCTCACACCTTAAACCCTAATATCCTGCTTGTATCTCTTTGCTCCCACACTTACTTGATCGTCAGAGTGCCTTGCAGGTACAACCCTCTTTTCTCCTTAACTTTCCAGCCAATCAAAAATCATCCTTCGGCCCACTTGCAGGTTCTGATCAACCGGTAAGATCGGTGGCGTCGTATGAGGGAAAATATCTTCCCCGTTTTCTGTCCTTGAAATTTGAAAACCAAATATCCTTTTAATTCATCAAACATGGTTGATCAAGATGATCACTATCTATCTGGAAAGTTCATGTTCTCCACGGCGTGCAAGACCGACGGAAGCCAGGAGCATC